TTATAAGTAGTGGTACATCCTTTTCTTAGAGAATAATACATTTATTATACCAATTTTTTAGTTGTTTGGCCAAAACATTAAAATGATTGAAAATGGTACTTGTTTCAAGTAAAATTTGTTCTAGTAATTTTTTAAATATGTATTTTACTGTTGAATCATGATTTGTTCGTGAATCACACCCAATTAATAGAGTGTAAGAGGAGAGAGAGAGAGAGACGAAGGGGGAGTGCACGGTAATGAACGATAATTAGAATTGATGATTAGCCCTTAACAAATGAAATGATTATCCTATTTACAGACGATGAGAGTACGACATATGAAATTACACCTTACACCTCAACACTATTCTTATATTGCCACAACACTACAAATGTGTATAAAGTTTTCATGAACTTGAGAGCTCATAACCTCAATGTTGAAAATGGAGCATCACAACACCAAATAGAGGAACAAACTGACTTCAGCATAAATACTTGAAAGCTTCAAAAATTAAAATGAAGCGCCTCAACGCAAAAATGAAACAATATGAGATAAATAGATAGAAAGCTTAGCATTAGTTTATGGCACTGCAAAGCTATAAACAACACCTCAATGCTATGATATGCAACAACATGATGCGATGGACTTGACAAATCAATTTTGGGGTGTTTTTTGATGAGTTACTAAAATTGTTATGTGGAGACTCACTGAATGATAATAGATGATAGAGGAACATTTGGTGAGAGTGATAAGACGAGAAAGAAGAAATTTATTGAAGGAGGAAAAGAATATAGTCACGATTCTACATTATAAATTCAAAGCTATCACATTTTTTAAATTCAGTTTTCTTCTTCATACTTTTGTGATTGAAGAACAAATTTTGCGTTGATGTGCATGATAAATTTTACGGAGAATTAAGTTTCTTTCAATCCCTTGAAAGAAAAACATGATGCAATCATTTTGATTTTAATTCATAAAAGAGTATTGTAAATTAATTAATCAGGTTAAAACTTCTATAGTATCAAAAGGGAGTAGAAGATATAAATGGTCTTGATTGGCAATTATTATTGCAAAATGCAACTTTGGATTTAATTCTCATAAGTTGGTGAGCTATAGATTTAGAATTGAATTTTACTTGTTTTTGAATTCAAAATTTATTTTATTTATGCATTTCATTTATGATCCTCATGAGAACAATACTATACTCAGTTAACTTTACTTTCGTGGTATGTGCACTTACACACATCATAAGCTGGTCAAGTTTTTGACACTATTATTATGATGATTGCTTATATCGTGTTTAGCTACACATGTTATGACTTGATTTTCTTAATCTGATCAAGTTTACATATTTATTTCATATTTTTTAGTTTTTCGTGAATTTTTTAGTCGATTTTTATATCTGATTTAACGATCAATTTCTTCTAAATTCTGATTTGGATAAAATTTTAACTAATTGAAATTAACCTTACTATATTTAAGTAATTTGTTAAGATGTGTTTTATGTCCGATTCAAAAATCATATTAACCACAATATAAAATATTTGTGATTTTATTTCAAGCATATTTTAACTCATTAATATAAAGTTTTTATTTAATTTATCTTCTTAAGGGATTAGTATCTTATTGTACATACATATATTATAAAACAATAAAGTATCCTTTTTTACAAATTATTTCCACTAGTTGGTTCTAGACATGATATCCTATTTATTTAATAATTTTTTCATAACTTTTGGAATTTTATATTTAATGGCATGAAAGATTTTTTATATGATTTATAAAGAAATATATAATAATTTTAATAATTATTCTTATATCTTTTAATTAAATTTAATAAGAATAATTTTATTATAAATATCTTGCACCACTACCTCTTTCATGTTTTTCTTCACATTTCCCAATTAGAGAATGGAGAGGGAAGATATATTTTTTTGAGGAAAAACTCATTTTAAGGGTCGATTTCATGCATTAGAACAATTTAAAAAACTGTCAAGCTCAAGATATGCTATTGTCACCCCACTTCAAATTTTAATTTCATTTTTTTTATATAATTTTTTTAATTTTATTTTAGTTAATTTTAAACAAATCTAAGAAGATTTATAAATTTCCAATATATGACTAGGGGTGTAAACGAACCGAACACGAACGAACAAAACTTGTGTTCGTGTTCGGTTCGTTTAAAATTTAGTTTGTTTGAAATAAGCTCGTGTTCGTTTCTTAACGAACGAGCCGAACACGAACCG